TAATTTTGAATATCTGTGATGAACTGTGTTAGTCTGCCAATTTTTTAGCTCTTGATGTTCTTCAATAAAGAAATAAAGATGCATAAATCATTGTACCTCCCCCAAAAATTAAAATTAAAATTGTACAATTTAGGGGCATTAAGTACATTTACAATGCTGTGAAACCATCACCACTATCTAGTTCCAGAATATTTTCATCACCACAAAAGGAAACCCTGTACTCATTAAGCAGTCACTTTTCATTCTCGTTTCAATAACTTGATAAACATAATTTCTTTAAGCCATTTTATCTTCTGTCACTTTATAAAAGTTTGGTTTTAGGATCTTATCCATAGGTCAGGCTGAAGCCCCATAAAAAGAAAATAATGACACCTTCCATGAAATCCAGTGGAAATAACTGTATTGTTATATATGTCATAACTGGTTAAAAAAATAGTTTTATTCTGGCAAAATTTTAGCTCATTGCTAGGAGTAAGTTAATTTTTTTAAAGTATAAATTCAATATCCCCCTCTCAGAAAGATTTTAATTAAAAAGAAATCGAAGACAGTGTAACTATCTTAGAAGTGATCATAGGAACTGAGTTGTCAATCAAAACAGGTATTTATATCCAAGCAATGTTGAAAATTCAGGAACAAAGGACAATGAGACCCACCATCATGATGAGAGTCAAGCCAAAGAATGTCATAAATAAGAATATAGAGAAAAAGGAAGTTGAAGAGATCTTAAGAAATAAGCTGTATATATAATTCAAAACAACAACAACAAAAAAGCTGCAGGCATGCTATGAATCTCCACTTCAAATGAGCAGCTGTGGGTAGTGCTATAGGGCACAGGACTGGTTTTGTGGTCTTAACCTACATTGAACACAAAATAGAAAAGAACAGTGTCCATATTAAGGTGATAGAAGGAAGTACACAGCTAATATTGTTTCTGCCCCAAACCCACCTAGAGTAAAGGAATTTACACACACACACGAGTCAGGAAAACAGGCAACAAGAAAATTTTGGAAGCTGGAAAGCCTGTAGACAAATGGCAAATAATTTAGTAGACCCAAGAAAGCTGAGTCTAGACTAGCAGTCATAAAAGCTGAGGAATGCTGAGGTACACAGCAAGACTCCTCCAAAGATCCAGGCACTGACACCACCAGATACCTCAGTCTTGAAGGAGAAGGGGTAGTTGAATTAAGGAGGATGGGGTAAAAGGTGTTCAAAATACAATCCCTGCCCCCACTCCAACCTGAAGTCCTCACTCAACAGAATTTGTGGTGCTTCTCTGGAGAGAGTAAAACAGAGGGTCTCTAAACTGGGGGATACCACACATAATTGGACTCAGGTACAACCAGAAACAGAGAGATTAAGTGACCATATGCATACCCCGTCCCACCCCACCTCATTCCCATGCAGCTCCCCGGTGCTGACATCAGACCTCCCCCCTCCAGTCAGGAGATGGAGATTCTTCTCTAGAAAACCAGACCAAAGGGAAAGACCTTAAGACACTGACCTCAGAGGTTCTCCAACTAACAGCCTACCCAGATACCCTATAGTCAAGGAAGCTCTGAGTTGACAAGATCCACCCACTTGTGCAGAGCTTCCAATCAGCATTTCCATCCCTCCTCTTATTCATGAGTAACCAAGAATTACAGGGCATTTAAGGAAAGACTCTAATATGAACAGATAGATCCAAATAAACAGATTACAGCAAATTTGAAGAAATAGTGGATTCTGTGGATTTTTCAAAAACTTAAAAAAGTGTTTGGAAGATAATATTACACTCAGAACAAAAACAGAATGTTATTAAAAAGAAACATCTAGAAAAATCAAAAAAAGCTCTTGGAAATTAAAAAATAGGATGGCAGGCAGGAAAAAAAATCAATAGGATTAGAAGATAAAGTTGAAGAAACCTCCCAAAAACAAAATAACAGAGATGGAAAAACAGGAGAGAAAAGATTAAACAAAGTGGAAGGTTGGTAGAGAAGGTCCAACATCTGAATAGTAGGAGTTCCAGAAAAAGAAAGAAAAAACAGTGGGGAAGCAATTATCAATGAAGTAATTACATTTTCCAGGACTGAAGATCATAAGATTTTAATTGGCAGGGTTCAAAGAGGGCCAAGCACATGGGATGAAAACATACCATCACTAAGGTACATCATCATGGACTACTGTGGGGAAACTAAAGTTTAACAGCTTCAAGAGAGAAAAAGACACTGGTCACATAAAAATGGCTGCTAGAAGACTGTAGAGCAATGCCTTTGAAATTCTGAATGAAAATGACATCCAACTGCATGCTGTCAAACTATTGACAATGGGAGAAGAGAATAAAGGCATTTTCAGACACTTAACCATCTTAAAATTTTTACCTCACACATTTACAGGGAACCTAATCAAGGGTGCATGGCACCAAAAAGAGGGAATAAAAAATGGGACTATGTAGGACACAGAAAACAGGAAATCCAACGTAAGAGGCAAAGGGAATTATGAGGATGGTGAGATGCACCAAGTGGAGGGAAACTAAGTCAGATTGGAGCAGGCATAAGGGCTCCATAGCTGTACTGACCTTCCCCTCAAAATGAACAATAGGCATAGAGAAAGTGGAACATGGAAACATCACCTTTACTGACAAGATCAACAAGGATAGTAGATGGCCAAGAACCATAAAGATATATGTTCCTAACAGAAATGGCTTCAACAGAAGCTTCATGATTCTTTTTCAATCAATATCTTAGCAAGAGCAGTTTCCTAAAACTTAAAAGCAGAAATAAAAAATCTGCTTCAACTAAAGGAATTCTGTATGGTCATACATACCTATATATACAGATGCACAGGAAGCTGCTAACAGCAGTGGTCTTAAGGGGTCTTAAGACTTGAGAAAGAGATAAGGAGACTTTCTGCCATTCACCCTTTTTTATTCTTTTGACCTGTGTACCACAAATAGTACTTGTTCAAAAATAAATAAAATATATTTTATTTTATATATTCCCTAATTTAAAAAAAAAAGAGGATGGGTCCATAGTGGCTCAGTTTGTCTGCTCTGGTTCGGCAGCCTGGGGTTCGCAGGTTTGGATCCCGGGTGTGGACCTACACACTGCTCAAGCCATGCTATGGCAGCATCCCACATACACAATAGAGGAAGACTGGCACAGATTTTAGCTCAGCAACAATATTCATCAAGCAAGAGGAGGAGGGTTGGCAACGGATGTTAGCTCAGGGCCAATCTTCCTCATAAAAAAAAAAGATGAAAAAACTCTTGAGCATCATGTATAGCAAGGAAGTAGTTTTATGAAACTTGCATCAGGTAAACATATAAAACTGTATTTAATATACATATTAATATATATTAATATGTTCACTATAAATAACTTTAACGGGTTGTAATGGAAAAATGTTTCTTATTGTGGGTTGCAAAGAAGTCTGAAATTGCTAAACCAAGTACCTCTGTAACTAAAAAACTCTTTCAGATCAGCCCCAGTGGGCTAGTGGTTAAGTTTGGTGCACTCCACTTTGGTGGTCCGGGTTCAGTTCCCGGGCGCAGACCTACACCACTCTTCTGTTAGTGGCCATGCTGTGCTAGGGGGAAGGGGTGCAGTGGATGTTAGCTCAGGGCAAATCTTCCTCAGCAAAAACAAAATGAAACGGAACAACTGTCTTTTCTATAATACCTCCTGAGCACCCACTGGGTCCTGGGCACTACCAGGTCTAAGACGTTCACGTACCAGTGGGTGGTGCATATGTGGAATCAGAAAACAAATATCTTGGTTTCAGTATTCCAGGTGGAACACCCACTTTTGTCTACTCTAGGCTTTCCTCTGTAATACAGTGTTTTGGAGAGCCTCTGGACAATTGAGAATTTATGGCTTTGTATGAGCATACCACTACGGGGAAACTATGAAAAAAATAAAGACGACAGGACACTACTGTTACATCATCTTTTAATTTTAAGGAATATTATTCTAAGACAAAAACATTAATAAAATCATAGGTCTATTCTAAGATTTCTTAATATATTCTGTAACATTCCACTCAGAAGGTAGAAAACCACAAAGTTCTTCCCTAGGGAAGGGTGCAAATGGAATGTAATATTGCATCACTGCACTGTACAAAATACAGACTGTGGGCCGGCCCTGTGGCTTGGTGGTTAAGTGCGCGCGCTGCGATGCTGGCGGCCCGGGTTCGGATCCCGGGTGCGCATCGAGGCACCACTTCTCCGTTCATCCTGGGGCCGAGTCCCACATGCAGCAACTAGAAGGATGTGCAGCTACGACACACAACTGTCTACTGGGGCTTTGGGGGGAAAAAATAAAAAAAAAAAAAAAAAAAAAATACAGACTGTGAAGACAAGGAAACTCAATTATTTCATTCCCTTCCCCCTAGGGTCACTTTTGCTGAAGAACTGCTCACTTAACATCCTAGGAGCTATCTTGTTGATATCTGCCACCATGATCCAGCAGTGATGAACCTTCTCCAGTTAACATAATGAATGTAATGCTGCCTACATCCACCCTGTGAGAGAGCTAAAAGGACAAACCTTCAGCATCACACATCAATCTACTGGAGAAATCATGAACATAATTATTTTTCTGTCAAGATCCTCTAACTTAACAATTTTTAAACAGCTAAAATATAATCTGGGTCACATCAGCACCATACCTGGAACTACACACAAACATACCCTTTCACAAATGTTCAGTTTCATAGCAACAGCACCTGTGACAGTCAAGGGCACAATCACATTTTTAAAAATTGAGTGAGAAGTAAACACAACAGGGCATTTGCACAATGGCAGAAAATCCTGTTCTTGGTAGCAGATGGGAAATGACTGGCTAAAGAAATAGGTTTATGGATAGGCATAATCTAGAATCTGATTCTAAGTATCACAATCACAGGATACTTGAAGGAGTCATAGCTGTACATAGCCTACAGTCTAACATTTTATATTAGTAGTTTCTTATACAAAAGTTAAAAACCTACCAAAAAATAACCCACATCATTTCTTTTTTGCTTAATTAACCATTTTACTCCCAAGTTTGTTAAGGAACTCATGAGACAGTCTAGCCTAATGGTCTAGAGAAATTTTTCTAGTTCCAAGATGTCTTGCTATGGAGTCATTAATTAGTAGGCTTAAAGTGAACCCTGAATTGGATACAGAAATTTGTGAAACAATGATATATTTCCCCAAATTTGAAAAACAGGAGACTTAAGGCAGATGTTAACACCAAGAAAAGCCACTCAAGTATTAAAATGGCATCCTGGAATGGTTCATAACAAAACCTAATTTTCTATTAGTTTTCATCATCTGGTTGAAACTATTCAGTCAGTAGAGAACAGAGGGGGTGCTGCATGATTAGGCTGCACCAAGGCTAATTCCCTCTGATGTATCCACATAAGGGAAGTGACCTGTACCATATGGCTTGCATTTATCCCCAGCAAGACATTCTGGTCCTCTCAACTGTATTGTGTACCTGGGAAAAGATAGTAAAAATACTTCCATAAGAGGTAAAGACTAAGAGGAGCCTACAAGCTCACTCTGGAAGATGTAAAAATGTCATAGAAAAGGAGCACCACATGGTGATTTTAAGTTTTTTTTTTTTTTTTTTACTGGAGGAATCTATTTGTCATGTATACACCATAGGAAAAGTGCCCCCGCCCCAAAAAAAAGGTAATGCAGAAAAGTTAGATTCATAAGAGAACTAAACATTCAAAGCAGGCAAAAATATGGTGTGTATGTTTTAAAAAAAGAAAATAAAAAAATAATTTCACTATGAAATGCCTTGATTTGCATGTGACTTAGTACTTATTTCATGTTAACTGGATCCAATTGTTCTGATGTATCTCTATTATATATCTGTTTCAGACTACTAATTTTTTTAAAAATATCTGTTTTTAAGCCAGAACATAAACCTATATCTGTCCATACATGTTAAGCTATCCTGCTTTGTATCTTCATGGATCCAAAATACTAAAAGATTAATAAAATAATTTTTTAAAAACCTCAAGTCACAGATTAACAAATATATTTCCACAAGTTTTCTGGATTACACTACTCGAAGTAACTTGTGTCAATATATTCTGGATTTCCAGATATAAATACCAGTCAATGGTTGGTTGGCCATTAAATCAAAAGTAAAATTATTCTTAGAACTAGGTCATAGTATATGGAATGCCTTAACTTTTCTTAGTTCAAATCCTACAATTTGACCCTAAAATATATAATCATGCCCCTTTATGTGCTTTAAGCTGACATATTGACTTTGCAGTCTATGCTTTGTAAGAGAGCAGGTAACTCTAGCACAGAGGAAATTATATAATGTGGCACAGGGTATGACTTCAGTGGCACTATTCCATTTTTATTTATCCAGACTGTTGCTTTCAGCCCTGCATTGATGCCTCCTTGTATATCGGTTTCTAGTGTGTCACCAACCATCACACAGTCCCCAGGCTGTACTCCAAGGAGATCACAGGAGTAATAAAATATGGAAGGTGCTGGTTTCTCTTCTTTCTGCTCTCCCCCTACAACAACAGCGTCAAAATAGGACTGACAGGCACAAGCCTCGATCTTCTCCCTCTGGGTCTGTCTGTCTCCATTTGTTAGTAAAAGTAGGCGGACCTCCTTTCGAAGTTCGGTGAGCATGGCTTTGACATCTTCTGCTAGCGTCATATGCTGCAAACGTGTAGATTTCCACAGGAAATAACATTCTTCAGCCAATTTCCTATTGGCTGTACCACCCTTTGTTTCCTGGATTGCTTCTTCCCAGTGTGAAGTCCTTAGATCAGTAATGCATGTACTGGAAGGATGAAAACATTCCTTGCTGAGTTTGACTTGAACTTTGTCACAGATAATTTCAGCCTCTTCTTTGTAATGGTATTTTGATTGTAAGAGCTTTATCACCTAAATAAAGGAAAATAACTCCATCAACACACTTCATGTCTTTAATAGCCATGCCTTGAGAAGCTGTGATCCTATAAACTCAGAGATTCTAACTCCAATCATTTTGTCTTAAAGCAGCTCTATTACCACACCATTTTTGGTGGGAGTTGGTTTTATTTTTAAAGAACAACAGAATGAAGATCTCCCAACTTCTCTAGACAACTCATTCATATTTTTTACCAATTTCTATTTTAAGAAGAGTCTTCATATATAGCTAATAAAAATATTTTATTTGGCAGTTTAAGTCCACCACCTTTCATTCTGGTCATGAAGACATGAAAATAAAACTTGTGTTTATATTTAGTAAAACATTTTAAATTTCTAACAATCGTTATTTAGACTCTTCCTAGAAATAACACTAGTTCATCTAACCTTTTCTCATCTATATTCATTTTACATTTTGAAGGCCTGAATTGAGCACCATATAAAATGGGACCCAATTCTATACTTTAGCTCTAATGAAATCAAGCATATTCTGTGGGTTGAGCAGTTTAATGACCCAGTGCCTTTTCCAAATCTAGTTTTCCAGAAAAAAAATTCAAGCAGTTCAAACTCACCCTTTGTTATGCTGGTTCTAAATCTCTCATCAGAATTAAGCACTCTCATGTGTTCCCACAGCTCTTTATTTTGGCTTTTATTACATTAGGTTCTTATTTTGGCCTGTCGTCTAACATTTACTAAGACTTAATGGGGCAAGCATTATACCCAATGCTAACTCACATTATTTCTAACCTTTTCTACAACTCTGCAAGGGAGTTCTCTTTTTGAGATGAGGAAATGGAAGTTCAGAACTGTTAAGTAACTTGCCCAAGCTGGGATTTAAACCCATGCTTGCCTTTACACTACTGTACCAGGCACTGGAGACCAGGGTCCCCTGTCTTCATGACATTAGCTGGTAGGGAAAATAAGCAGTATGCAACCACCACTAATGCTGGGTTGAGTGCCATGACAGTCAGGTGAACAACTGTGGAAATAAAGTGGAAGGAGCAATTCATTCCACAGGGTTGTTGCCTAAGGTTTGGCAGACGAAATAACATTTAAATGAAGGAGTTACCAAGCCCATAAGGTGTAGATGGGAAGAGGATAAGATTGTTCTAGATAGAAGGACCAGCATGAACAAAGAGACACAGCTTGGAATTTTGTGAACTGGGAATGGCAAGAAGCTAAGTTCAGCTGAAATGGAAGGCATGTGAGGGAGGATGCTAAGAGATGAGGCTGGAGAGACTGGAATCAGTTTGCAAAGGGCCTTGAATCCCCAGTTCCCTTGGCACACACTATTCCCATACATGCCAATGGCTTCAGACTGTTAAGTACTTGAGTTTCTCTGCCTGAGGGCTTTATTTGGCTACAGGGGCACCCATGCACATAGGCTGGGACCGAAGTGTTGCCCTGGGAGCAGGCCTCAACCAATGAGGGGTAGAAATTGGTGGATAAATATCACAGCTTTCTGGCCCCTTGGGAGGGACAAGTGAAGCATGTTCTGCATATTGTCTCCCAGATTCCCCAACTGTCACAGCAGTAACACGCTCACTCACACAGCCTGTATTACATTCCTTCCCCGTCTTACTCCCCACTCCTTGACAGTACCACCTGGGATTACCTCCCAAATGAACAACCCTCACTGGAAGTACGTGTCTTAGGGACATCTGGGGAAAGTCAACCTTGCCAAGACAATTTTGGATCTTTGAGAATGAGTGCAATGCACATAGCTGGGACTAAACATTGCTGTTGAAGCAAAGAGGTCAAACAAGCCCTAACTATACAGGGAATGAGTGGTATGCTACTCACAGCAGACATTCAATTCACCTATTAAAAAAGAGGAAAGAGATGAATAGACACATTCTTCTTCCTTCAGAGTATAAGAATCACACCAAAAGTAAAGGAAGTACTTCTCAGGCTATTTGTGCTCATCAGAAATGGAAATAGTTAAGAAAAGTCTTATTACTGCAAGAAAAATATACCATCCCTAAGAACTTTAGGTGAAGGCAAAACACTGAAAATTTTTGCCTTATAAAGTTAAATTTCAGGGGCCGGCCCCGTGGCTTAGCGGTTGAGTGCGCACACTCCGCTACTGGCGGCCCGGGTTCGGATCCTGGCCGCGCACCGGCCCACCACTTGTTGGGCCATGCTGAGGTGGCATCCCACATACAGCAACTAGCAGGGTGTGCAACTATAACATACAGCTGTCTACTGGGGCTTTGGGTAGAAAAAGGGGAAGAAAAAGGAGGAGGATTGGCAATAGATGTTAGCTCGGGGCCAGTCTTCCTCAGCAAAAAGAGGAGGATGGGCATGGATGTTAGCTCAGGGCTGGTCTTCCTCACAGAAAAAAAAAAAAAGTTAAATTTCAATCAACAAATCAAACTTTTTCAACCTCCATGGTATGTCACCATCTTTTCTAACAGTGTCAATTGAATCACTCTTGAACTATGATTGAAGGTCCCTCTAAAGTTTTAGCAACCTTATGGCTACACAATAAAGGACACAGGCCCCGAGGACGCCTCAGTGCTTGAGCTTAAATAGGAGCTGGCTCATAGTTAATAAATACAGAGTTCCCAATAAAGATCCAACTTCCTGTTACTGCAACTGGCAATTCATTAAGCACATTCTTGGGGCTCTGAAAAAGAATTACTTCACCTTAAAGGGGAGATTCTTATAAAGGAATAGCATACTGCTCCCAAGTTTCAAAATTTCTTCCCATTACATCCCCTGAATTAACTTTCTCATTTTGTCACACAGCAACTAATTACAGATTCACTTGGGATAACAAGTAGCATTTTAATGTTAACATCTTTTGGAAAAAATTTTATCAGTCATTCACATGTTAATTAGTTCTATTAGTTAATATTAGAAATAACACCTAAGTTGAATTAGTACATGTTATTATGAGTACAAACTCTCCTAACACCTGCCCTGAGAAAACAGAAGTTTTGATTGAATTGATGGTGGAGAAAAAAGATCTCTAACTTGGATGTGTGATGATATTTTGCGTAAGGGGTAAGGCAGGCTTGAAAAGGATTCTGAGTAGTATAAGCCCACCAGGCACCAATAGGCCTGAAGAAATGGGCCCTAAGATAGTGGGGGTGGGGATTAATTTGTAAACATAATATAAACTCAAACTTCATCTACTTCAAAACTCTATTTCAGGGCCGGCTCCGTGGCTTAGCGGTTAAGTGCGCGCGCTCTGATGCTGACGGCCCGGGTTCGGATCCCGGGAGCGCCCCGAGGCACCACTTCTCCGTCCAACGCGAGCCCGAGTCCCACGTACAGCAACTAGAAGGATGTGAACCTATGACATACAACTATCTACTGGGGCTTTGGGGGGAAAAAACTGAATAAATAAAATCTTTAAAAAAAAAAAAAAAAAACTCTATTTCAGGCTCTATCTTAACACATACAAAAAGGAAACTCTCTTCTTCCAGGTCCTGTTCTCTGGACCCAGAATTAAAGTTAATACCATCAGTACTAGTGTTTAGCTAACTGTGATTTAAAAGACTTTTCTAGGGCTAGTGTAGGAACCATATAAGACTTTATAACACTATGATTAAGATATGAATGCCAGGGCCGGCCCCGTGGCTTAGCGGTTGAGTGCTCGCGCTCCGCTGCTGGCGGCCCGGGTTCGGATCCCGGGCGGGCACCGACGCGCCGCTTCTCCGGCCATGCTGAGGCCGCGTCCCATGTACAGCAACTAGAATGGATGTGCAGCTACGACGTGCAGCTATCTGCTGGGGCTTTGGGGGAAAAATAAATAAATAAAATCTTTAAAAAAAAAAAAAAAAGATATGAATGCCAAATAAAACTAAGTTAAAAATCATGCTCACAAAATATGACTGCCTGCATACAGCCTAGCAATTCAAGCAGCCCTCCTGTTATTTTTCGTTCTGTTCTTTGCTCAAACATCATCTACTTAATGTGGCCCAATCTGACCAACGTATTTAAAATCGCAATTTGGGGCCGGCCCCGTGGCTTAGCAGTTAAGTGCGCGCGCTCCGCTACTGGCGGCCCAGGGTTCGGATCCTGGGTGCACACCGACACACCGCTTCTCCGGCCATGGTGAGGCCGCTGCCCACATACAGCAACTAGAAGGATGTGCAGCTATGACATACAACTATCTACTGGGGCTTTGGGGGAAAAAAGGAGGAGGATTGGCAATAGATGTTAGCTCAGAGCCGGTCTTCCTCAGCAAAAAGAGGAGGATTAGCATGGATGTTAGCTCAGGGCTGATCTTCCTCACAAAAAAATAAAAAATAAAAAAATAAAATCGCAATTTGTCCCTCCCTTCACTGTTTCTAATACACTTATAAATACATTTGATGTGTTATGTTCATTGTCATCAACACAGGAACATAAACTCACAAGTGCAGAAATCTTTTCTGCTTTGTTCACCAAGAAACCCCAAATTACTGTAGAAGGCTTCCTCTTGAGTAGTGACACTGAAAGACAGGCCTGAAGAGGGTGGAAAGAAATAACTTTCCCAAAAGATTAAAAAAAAATTAAAGTTGATATAGTCAGTATATGAGCACAAAGCAATGGCTAGACCTTTCCCCCTTCCTCCTTTCATGAGTCATTCAGAGTGATTTATGAAAGCTGGCATGTTACTTTTGAATAGACCAACATTTATTAGTGTTGTATTCTTGTGTGATAAAGCATTCCTTGTATAGTTAAAAGCACACAGTTGAATTCTGCTCATTTCATAGAATATTTATAAAGGAAGTGGCAACCGAACCAAGTCAGAAGTTTATCCATCCACCCAGCATTCATTCAACATTTACCATGTGTCAAACTAAGATGACTAAGGCAGTTTGCTCCCTCTTAAGAGGCTCACTATTTAGTTGTGGGCATCTGAGTTGCAAAAACTAATTGTAATACCCTTTGACAAGTGCATTAAGAGATATATGAACAAAATACAGTGCTGGTACAAGAGAGGGTGTAAAGACCAGGGAGAAATACAATCTCACTTTTGTTTCAGAAATTTCACTGTGGCAGGAATGTGGAGGATGAACTGGATGCAGTAAGCATGGAGACGAGACCACAACGACAGTTTATACAGGAGCGAGTCCAGCTTTAACTAAGACAAGGGCAGGGGGGATGTGAAGGAGGAAATGGACTGGTTGACAGGGTGGATGGTGGTACAATACATTAAGTGAACACTGGACGGTAAGCACTACCCATGCATTATGTTAAACCTACCTGATAGGGTTATTTAGGACTAATACCATTTTCAGCTAGGTATTGGAAGAGCTGTGTTTCAAAATCAAGTCTCATTTTAAAGCCTGAACTCTTGGCCTACGGCACCATTTGACCTAAAACAAGAATTTAATTGCAACACACTGGCCTTTGCCTGCCAAGAACACACAGGTAAATACGTAGTGAGGGCTGGTAGAGATATTAGAGCCGATGTAGCACAGGGTCATGACTCTGAGGTCGAGGTCAAGGGTATGAAGATGGAAGGAACAGTCAATAGTGTGGAATGCCTCAGCAAAGTCTTTAAGACAGACTTAAAATGTCCACTGATTCTGGCAGGTGCCTATTGGGAAGCGCCTAATGACCTGGCAAATCTATTTCATTCCAGTTGCAAAGACAAAGGCTACACTGCAATGGATTTAGGAATAAATAAGAGGTAGAGACATGGAGATAATGGATATAAATTGTTCTTGAAAAATATGACTGTCCAGAGAGATAGGTAGCATCTAGTGGAGGAAGAAGGCTCCAAGGGAGGTGCTTTTTTTTTTTTTTTTTAAAGTATGGGACAGACTTGAATATGTAGGAGTGGAATGCACCAAGAAAGAGGGTGAAGATCCAGGGAAACAAAACCTAAGGAAAGATGAAAAAGACAGGACACTCAGGGTTGGAGAGATTAACTTCTGAAAGTGGGTTTTTCGCATCTGGTTATTCTTGGTTTTCTCCTTAAGGCTGAAGGCAGAGGAAAGCAGCAGGGGTGGATTAGGGGCTTGAAGAGTACGGGAAAGGTCTGATACAGCATCTGTGGGTGTAGAATGGAGAGGCTGCTGCTGAGCAATGCCTATTGAAAGGAATGCGGTACAGCGGGGACTTCTGCTTTGGGTGTCACCTCAGAAATCTACAAAGGGTTACGCCCACAGCAGGGAGACCGGAGGGGAGTTTCCGCGGAGAAAATTCTCTGGAGTCGATTAAGTCCAGGGCTGCCACTGATAGCTGTGTAACTTCTCGGGTCTCCTCAAATATCCACTGAAGACCACGCTGTAGGGGGTCGATCCTTCCCCGACGTCAATCATGGAAAGCCCGGCGCGCGCACTCGTCCAGACTGGTCCCAACCTGTCCTGGCACAACGCCAGGTGTCTCGCGGCACGGCGTGACCATCTGTCTCTTTGCGGGTGGCTCTGCCACCGCGGCAGTTTTAACGACATCCTTCCGGGCCCCAAAGTGCTGGAATCAGCTTCAAGAGCCCAGCTTCCCAGAGGCTGGGGCCAGCCAGGCAGGTAACCCAGACAGCCACCTCCCCAAGCCAGTCCCCCCGGCCCACTCGCCCTTTCCCCGATCCTTCCGGCACGGGGGTCTCAAGGACGAAGGCCAGTGCCCCCGGGGCGCTCCCAGATGCCCGGCCACGGCGCGGTGTAAGAGACTAGAGCTGGACGGCGGGGGTGGGTGGGGAGGAAGCCGAGGGGAGGGGGAAGCGCGCGGGACGACGTGGGGCGCGCTGACCCCGCCCACAGTACAGCCGCGGGAGCCGAGACGTTACCTCCAACATGCCTTTCCTACTCGCCCCGGCCGTGTCGATAAGCGTGTTGTCCAGATCAAAGAAAACGGCCCGGACCCGGCTCAGCCCCATCTCGCCAGCCGCCCGCGCGAGGGGCAAACTTGTAGCCGCTTCCCACGCACGAGTGAGGCGGGCCGGCGGCGGACAAGAAAGACGTGGGCGGAGCCGGGAGGTCACCTGACCCTCCCGGGCCGCCGGCGGAATTCCCGCGAGGTGTCTCAATTCTTGAGCGCCTGAGACGAGTGAGATCTCGCGAGACTCCGGAATCCTGGTCGGTGGAGTGCGAGGGAAGCGCGCGCCGCTAGTGGTTATCTGAGCAGTTTGTGGAGGGTGATTAGAAGCGCGGTTTCCCTGTTTTATAACGTATGTCTGCTTGTGTGTTTTTCTCGTTTTGCACTTCTTGCATGAGGAGGACGTTATAACCGCCTTAGGGAGGTTTTCTGCGCCATTTGGCGCCTGGGAAGGAGACTGAGAAGCTGGCTTTTCCGGTTAGCCGTGTGTTACCGCTTGGGGAGCTGCTGGCGGCTCCGAAAGGTTTCCGGTCTTCTTGTCCCAAGTAGCAGTGTGAGTGTGTGTTTAGTATCCTAAGTCTGCGGTTACGAGACGGACACTGTCAGTAGCAGGAGCACCACAGGGATGCAAGGGTGTGATAGCCAGTGTTTTAAAATTTTAACAGCTTATTACGCACGCTGTGTTCTCCACGCTGGGAAACCGCCCACGTGGGTCTTGATGTATTTATCCTACTAGATTATAGTAGCTGTGTTGGAACTGAGCCCTCACCAGCACGGTTTTGAAAAGTGTAACCTGGATTTCTCAGAGCCCTTGTTTAAAGGCTGTGCACGAAGACGGGGAAGGCTCTGTAGTGTCTGCTCGCTGTTTTGTTCACATTGATTGCTTTTCCTGAAGCCTTGCATTTCCAGGCCTCTAGGTGCCTTCTAGAACTGGATGGTTTTCAGGTGTAGCAAGAGGCAGAGGGACCTAGACAGTCTATTAAACTTCCAGAGGGGCAATAACAACTGTTTGCCTTTATCAGCTTTAAAATAGCCAGTTATTTTACTGGCAAAATGAGTTTATTTGGGAATAACAAAGAATTGTAATTCAGGATGTGCAAACTGGTGAAACACAGCGAAGTCCGGAGAAAACGGAGGGGAGCTTGCTTATATAGAGAAAAAGGGGGAGTTGTGAGGCGCTGTTCTAAATGAAAGTTCATTGGAGGGGAGTAAGAGTTCAGGGTGGCTGTGGCTCCTCATGGGCAAGGCAGCTTTGGCATTTTCCATTGGCTGGGCTTTTTGCTGGGCGAGAAGAAAACCTTCCTTCTGCTGGGGTAAAGTAGTAGCTCACTTCCTGTTGGAGATCCAAGGTATATTTCTTCCTGTTTGGGGTAATTGACCATGAGTGGCAGGGGGTGAAAGCTCCCTCTGCAGGCCTTCCCTACTCCAACTGTAGTTGAAGTTTCCTTTATTAATTTTCACACCTGCTGTTAGCAGAACAAGAATCTTGAAACTAATTTCTAATCTCTTGTCTAAGTTGTTTCTACTGGGTAACTACCAAAATTTGGATATGTGGTCATCATCAAGTGACCAGAAATTGTCTATCAGGTAGAACAGAGCTGCAGGCCACCAGATTTTGTTGGATCTGTGAACTAAGAGTTTTTTACGTTTTTTAAAATGATTGATGGGGCCAGCCCTGTGGCTTGGTGGTTAAGTGCGCGCGCTGCGATGCTGGTGGCCCGGGTTCGGATCCCGGGTGCGCATCGAGGCACCACTTCTCCGTTCATCCTGAGGCCGAGTCCCACATACAGCAACTAGAAGGATGTGCAGCTACGACACACAACTATCCACTGGGGCTTTGGGGGGAAAAATAAAATAAATAAAATCTTTAAAAAAAAAAATAAAAAATAAAATAAAATAAAATAAAATGATTGAAAAAAATCGAAGAGTATTCATGACATGTGAAAATTATATGAAATTCAAATTTTAGTGTCCATAAGTAGTTTTATTAGGGCACAGCCACATTCATTCATTGATATTTTGTCTTTTGCCACTTTTGCCCTACAGTGACAGAGTTGAATAGTTACAAGCGAGACGGTATGGTCTGCAAAGCCTAAAATACTTACTATCTGGCACTTTATAGAAAAGAATTGCCCACCCCTGAGGTACATGATTAAGAGTTGGGCTGCTGATGTTCAGTAGATCAATTGTCTTATCCTTATGTTCATGGATTTTTCTTCTGCAGTGGCAGACTATAGTTTCTATATGTTTTGGAGCAGAATCACAGTTGACCTCTCCTTGCTGCTGTGAAAAATAAATATATATCCCTTCCTCAAAAACATGACTCTGTGGTTACCCTGTTGATGTGCAGGGCTAGTCTATCAGTTTTGTTCATTTAGATTAGCAGTCACCCCAAGTTATGAGTGCATTAGTTGGAGTTACCTTATTTAGTTGTCTGAAATGTCAGAATAAATTTAGCATAAAAGTGCTTATGGGCACATGAAGCTTATAGGATGGGAGCAGTTTTGTTTTGTTTTCCTGATGTGCATATAGAGTTTGACTTAGGCACAAATCCAAACTCAGAGGAGGTATAGCAGCCTGTATAATCAGTCCTCTTGCTTTAATGGGTGGGGGTGTTTGATAGGTTTCCCTTTGTGAGAAGTAGTCTAATGACAATCCATGACCTGTCTAACTTTGCTACTTAAAGAAAGGTGATGGCCAGATACCGTCCATCCTGATAACTTTAATTCCTTCTAATTAAGTGTCTCAAGGCTTCAGGATACTGTAGTTAATGCTTGTGAACCAATGAGTTTTCCTGTAGCATTTTAAGGTAGTGAGATGTACAGGCTCCTCGTTATAGATGGGCCTCAGGTTATTAAATACAGTATTTAATCTGGTCAGCTTGACAGATTTAACACTAGTAGCTAGAGGAAGTCTTCATATGTGCAGGAAACAAGGTCTAAGTAAAAGATTGGTAATCGAGAGAATTGATGTAGGCACAAAGAAAATGAAAACTAAACTGAAACTGTGCTTCATCAGCGTTCTGCACTGCACGTGATGGCACCGTCGTTGTGCAATTGCTGCTGCCCAGCTTTGATCCTGCCTTTTCCTACCTTAGGGAAAGTCTCTCCCAGGCCCTTCCCCACCAACCTTCCCTGTACAAGTTCATTACAACTCCATGACCTCAAAAGAGAGGTTTGCCTTCTGGTTTCAAGTTTTCTCAGAATGGAGTATTGCTAAGTTGATAGGGATAAAATAGAAGCAACCAGAAGAGAATCTCACGGGCTCCCACTATGTTTACCCAGCTATTATCAGCTGTACCCACCCACCCTGCCTGAGAACCTTAAATGAACCATCCCTCCTGCCTTCTGGGGCCAGCCCTTTCAGTTGTTCCCTATGTCCTCACCCCTATTTAGGGACGTCTCTTCAGCAATTCTTTCCTCCTCTTTTGCATCATCAAAATTTCCCCAACTGTTGAATCTACTCCAGTCAGCCTCTCACTCACCTTATTCCATTGAAACTACTCTTGCCAAGTCACCAGTGACCTTCACCTTGCTAAATCCAGTAGCCATTCTCTGGCCGCATTGTATTTGTCCTGTCAGCAGAGAGCACACTCGGGTTGATAACAATTCACCAACAGTGCTGCCAGAGTATTATTAGAATACTGAAAGCTGTTACCCAGGAAAAACACCTCTCAGGGTTTACATATATTCAGAATTCTACAATCCTGCCTTCTGTACTCTCCAAATATCTTAGTCATTCAGGAGACAATAACAGAAGTACAAAAAAGGATCTGTCTTTCTCGTAGTAAATACAGAATTATCATCTTAAAGCCTGGAGTTGTAGTATTGAAACTGCTATTCATTTTATTCTTCAGATTGATGCTTCACGTTGATTTTATTGATTCTTTAGATTAATTCCAATTCCATATATTTTCTTTACCATTAAAACTAATTATTTAAGAATATAATATACCCTTAACCTGTGTTATCTTTTACTAGACTTTTATTTTGTTATTGTTGCTTGGTTGGATTTAAGTCAAACATTTATTTGTCTGATCATGAAAAACAGAATTTGGGCTGTCTTATTTCTATGGTCAAAACCCTCACTGCGGAGAGAAATACCAGTGTGTCCCAGAGACCAGCAAGGTTTGTCAGTCTTCACTTTGAATCATCGATACGCTTATAAGGGAGGAGGTTCCACTGCCTGTGATAAGCCAGGTCCCTCATTTCCAGCAGCCTCATTCCTCTCCCTCTCAGCCCATTAGGTGTCCTGGCCTTGTCCTTCAGAGGTCTCTGTGTGCTGCACACAGCTCCCTCTGGTTACCTGCTTGTATGAGCCTCTGGAGTCCAGTGCCTGTCCTAGGATTCCAGGTTCTATTCCCCTGCTAGGAGGAAGCAGCGATTTTTTTTTTTTTGAAGTTACAATTATGTAACTATTTATAGCCAGAGATGGTGATTGATTTGATTACTTTTCTCTCCCACTACACAGTCAGTAAGCCCAGTGAAGGCAGAGACGGTCAATTTTACTCACCATTGTATCCTCGGAGACTAGCACTCTACAAAGCACGTAGTAGGTCTTCAATAAATATATATTTTTAAATGAATGAATGGCAGCTTCTCCAGCCCCTACATCTATCCTCTCATAAACAGCCACCCCTTCCCCTTCCTTCCCTCCTCTACCTCCCATCCAGACCAGAGTGTGACTAGAGCCATTTTATTTCTTCCTCCACCTTACCTGTTGTGGAGAGAGACGGGGGGTAAAGAGGAGTGTGTGTAGGTGGAGGGATTAAAGAAATGGGGTTGGGAAAAGCTAAACTTCAAGAAGCTAAACTATGTAGAGAGGAAAAAAGTCTAAGAAACATACAGCACATTGACCTCCCATGCCTGACCATTGTGATTTAGAAGAACTTGGCTCTAGGGTTTTGTATTATACTTGCAATATGTGTGGCTTGTGTTTACCCATCTGCTTCCCCGTCTAGACTGCAGTCTGCAAACGAGCTGTCACCTGTCATTGAAAACTCAGTGATGACCTGACTCAAACCCTAACCTGACTTAAAAGACATTTTATGCTCCTGCTCAATGTCACCATCTCCTGTCTGGCAACTCCCCCGACTTCCCAGCCCTTAAGTCTGCA